TGAGTTCCTTTAAATCAAGGCTAAATATTATATTGGATGTATATTTGCCTGATGGTTCTGATGATGGCATTTGTAATGTTTATTGCTTGTTTCATAAATTATTACTGTATTATGTTTTTATGCAGTGAAGCACTTTGCACTGCCTTGTTGCTGAAATATGCTACACAAACAAACTTGACTTGAGAGACAGAGGTTTCATTTTTCTAACCGTCAAAAAGTAATTTTACAACATTATTCCTCTGAGCTCAGTGATCATTTCATAAAAAAACAGGAGCTGGTTAAAAATGTAACGCAAGAAGCCTCGCTTACAGAGCTGCAACGTTTCGTGTTGCTGATGAAATTATGTTTCTCTTCTTCACTGCAAGTGATGGACGTACAGAACCAGTGAGAGAAATTCTGCAGGTTTTTCAAAACACACGATGACACACCTGCTGTAGTAGTTTTGTTTAAAAAAAAGTTGAAGTAATAAGAATGAAGTAAGGTCAGAATTGCCTTCACAAGAAAATCAGGCTTTTCAAACTGACGTAATCCAGAAATGTTTGAACAGATTATAATAGATACAATTTGGTTTTAGATCAGTGTTGCTCCTTCTGCAACTCAAAATGCAAGAAAACATTTCATTTCTGGAACAGGATAAAACTGCAGAGCGGTCCCGCAAAAAAGATTGTAAAATAACCTCTCAACCACAAGCAGGGGGAACCAGCTCAACACCGACTGCAAACCGTCAAATGCAATAAAAAAAAGTTATTCATAACATCAACGACACATGAGACCCAATCAAGATCCTGGGATGCAACACACAAATGTAAAAAGAAAACTCAACCTAAAAAAATGAAATACAGACAGAAGGAATCTGGGCCTGGTCACGGTCCCTCACGTGAAAAACATGGGAAGAAGCCATATATGTAGGCCTGACGTCAAGCAAAGAAACCTCTAACCCTGCTTCAATAAACCCAGAGCAGACTTCAGGGAACACAGATACGATGTGTGGCAGTCCTACCTTGTACACTCTTCTCCAGTTCTTCTTATTATCCTTCAGCATCCTGGTCCACAGCATGTTCATCACCTCTGGGAACTGCTCATACATAAACGTAGCTCTATAAACACACACACATTTATGGTCATTCTGCTGGCATCCATGAGTAAAACAGATCACATCTCATGCCTGTGTGTGTGTGTGTGTGTGTGTGTGTGTGTGTGTGTGTGTGTGTGTGTGTGTGTGTGTGTGTGTGTGTGTGTTGTTACACCTACTTGGCTATCTCTCCCATTAGCTGTCCAGAGGGCCCCCAGGGGTCATCGTTGGTAGCTTCTCTAACCTTAGACTCTATCTCTGAGTAGTTCATCACCACATTAGTGCTGTTGACACAAACATTTATACCTGTTAACATCACCAGTGTGACTATAAAACTTGTATGCATCACATCTTATTTGTCTTAACATGGAAAGATAAGCAAAAAAAAACTTCAACAGACTGAGCAGAAGAATGAGCAAAAACCTGAATTTGTACTTATTTCATGTTATTTTACTTGCAATTTTCATCTATACAAATAAAAATTATCTACTAGCTTATTACAACAACTCATTCAAAACACAAAACCACAAATAAGCTTTAGCGTTTTGTCTGAGGACTGGCAGAATCCTGCTTCGCTGAATAACACACTTTGGAAAATCCTTTGTGCTGCTGAACTCTTTATCAGATAACAGATGTGGGCAAAGAGGCAGAAGCTTTCTGAGGCACAAAGAGGGAAAAGAGCAAGTCTGTACATCAAAGGGAGGTGAACACAGGTATGCTGTTTCCTGTCTTCTTTGTTCCTGTACTTCACTTTCTACTCTCTGTTTTCCTGTACATACAAAGCCAATCTCTTCATACCCAACGCTTATTCAGGTAACAATTTAGTCCGAGAATCATCAGTTTAAAATAACTCCTGTCATTTCTCTTTCAGTGCTTGTTCACAGTGAGCAGTCCCTTTCTTTTCCTGCCTTACTCCCCATCTCTTTGTTCTCTGAAACCTGCCAAACTCACAGCAAGAGAAAACCAACAATGATCAATGATTTATCCCAGGCAGCAGCCACTTTTAACTGTGTTATAATCAGCCATCGCAGAAAGCAGAAAGCTTTATATTAGCGTGACTCTTAATATGCTGGAGAAGAAATGCCTCTGCTGCCAGTTCTATGGAGGCAGATCAATAATGGAGTGTATTCATCATGCTCAGCCAGCCACAACCAACAGCTGATGGAAGCTGTTGTCTGTTACTCCATTTCAAGCCCTGTGCTGCTTCATCTACTCCCTCGTCTGTATTCTTCCTTCTCTGGTCTTAATGTTAACTCCACGTAGTACTTTTTGTCTTTATTTTCAGTTGCAAGTAGGCCTGTCAAGATGACTGATTCTGCTGGATGATAAATTGTCCCAAACGTTATTGCAATAAATGATAATATTGTTGTTTTGAGAACATTTTCAAGTCATAAAATGGTGATGGCATAATAATGCAAGAACACATTCTCAAAAGATTAATAAACAACATTTTAAATACCCCAAATAAATAAACAAAACAACAAATAAAATGAATTATGAAGCTAAAGAAAACTGTCCTTCAAACAAAACCAATGCACCATGCTGAAAACCTTTGCCACCCAGGTTATGGTAGAGAGAGAAAAACAATAAATCATCCAAATGGAAATTATCATGCGATTGATTTATTGCTTATTGCGGCATGCACTACTTTGTGGCTTGTAGCATCACAATGACATGTATTCTTGATATTGTGCAGTAATGTATTTATACTTCCTTATGGGTCAATTATCAAAACATTATAATAATCCTCCGTAAACTCTGTCAGTTAGCATTGCAGCTTTGCAGAAATATGTTATAAATCCACAAACATGGATGGAAATAAACTTTACAAAATTACGCAGAAGAAATTTGGATGTATTTGGACTCCAAACCTAGTTTAAAGATGTACTACTTATTGTTATTAGTCTTAATGTCACTCTTTTACACTAGCTAGAGCAGTAAGAGTCACAAACTAAATGTCAGTAGGCATCCCCATATCCTGAATCAGAAACAGAGTTGAAGAAACCTCATTAGTGGTTGCACATACACATTTGGGTTAGTTTTGGTTTTACTCAGCCAAAGTCAATGCATGTAGCTGCAGGAACAAAGAGTACAAGAAGATTTTCTTCCTCCTGCATGGCTGCACTGTAATAACTACATTCATAAACCTACATCACAGAGGCATAAAAAACACAATGCATGTGTTTAGGAGCACACATGTCCTACTAAAGTATGTGTTTGTTTGCCAGCATGCTACATTGCTGTGGGCCTCATCGGGACAATGTGAATGTTGAGAATACAACATGCTTAGCCGGTTATATGTCCGTCATTATCAATCAGCCTCCTTCCTGTTGGAGGTGTGCAATGTGCTGGGCGGACATGGAGATGGTGAGCATCACCGGGGTGGGACAGCTAGGCTGTTAGTCTGCTGCAGCAGCACTCTGAGGGATAACAACACCTGACCTGCTTATAGCCGAATTAGCTAACTGAAAGCCACAAACACATTCTCACTTTACAATGATGCCATAAGAGATAACGATGAAAACGCGACGAAATATTAATTCATGGGACAAGGCTGGCAGTTTGCCAAGTGGTCAAAGCTAACAGCTGAAGGCCCGTATTCTTTCCTCCATCAGCGATAAAAGTTAATGATGCTGCCCGGTGAGAGCTGCTCAATCACCGGTTAGCTCACGGGCCACTTAGCGGGTTAGCTCTGCGCCTCCATCTCGGTTGGTACTCACGCTTTGTCCACCAGCTCCCTGACTTTCCACATGTTCAGCATCTCCGCACGGACCTGCGGGCTCCCCACCTCGATACTGCGCCGCCCCCGTGTCTCGACACCCCGCAACCCAGAGGTGGAATCCCGGTAACTGACGAGAAANACCCTTCAGAGCCATTATAAGGCCAGAAGACTCACATTGGCCCCTCACTTCCCCATGGATCTGACATGAGTCTTGACAGCATTAAGACCCTCTGATTGGTTGTTTCTGATGGAGTGGTGTATTTCTGCAGTCTTAGTGTGGCAGCATGGAAGAAAGTGGATCTCATATTTTTCTGTTGTGAGGAGTGAGACACGCTGGCTTTGCCTGTGGGTTTTTCCTTACAAGGTGAGATGAAAGTGTGTTGTAACACCGAGCTGCAGCAACAGCAGCAAACGGCGCTCTCAATGCAAATTGACTACATTTAGAGTCTGTAGCTCAAGGCTGAAGAGAAAAAAAATGTGACATTCTTCAGACGGGGTTTGGAGAAGCTGAAGGTCATGATGACTGAGCTTTAGTTTTTTGCCCACCCCCCCCCCACCCCACCCCCAAAAAAACTGAAGCTCAGTCATCATTCAAGATGATTCATAAGGACGTAGAGAATGTGACACCAGCAGCAGGAAGAGGAGGAAGAGTTAGTCTGCATTTTAATCTCTGAACATGATCACCTTGCTGTGGAAACTAAACAGTACCCTCTGTTGGATGACACGGAGAATGCATGTGTGGAGAAGGAGGTGTGTGTCCTCCAGCTGAAGCCAGTCAGTGTGTCTGACACAAAAATGTCCTGCTTCAGATGAGAAAAGTCACAAAACATGACAGTGAAGAAATCTAACAGGATTTCAGTCCAAAATTTTATTCGCTTGGTTCTTTATCATCTTCTGAGGCCGATTGGTTGTGACCTGAATCAGAATTCTTCATAAAAGTCTGAACAACACAGAATGGATTTTTCCTAATGTGACCCAGGTCACTTAGATATGTGGTTCTAAATCTGATATGTGCCAGATGTTTTCAGATGTGACCCGAGTTTGTACAGCCAGGTCACTAACCCTAACCCTGCCTGAACATCATTCATACTCGACAAACATCACTATTCTCCTTCCTGATGTGTGCAAGCGGCAAGAAACAACCATGGTGGATGTTAATCAATACTAAGTTGTTAATGTGCTGGCTCCACTTGGATAACAACTTTAAAATCGTAAGATAGCAAAACGAAAAGCCATTTTTCTTTTTTGTAAAGGACAAAAATCTAACTGTGTTTTCCTATGAGAAACTCACTCCTGAGCTTCAGACATCAGCTTCTGGACTAATCAGTGGGGAATCAGCCATGGCTCTAGCAAATCTGCAGCTGCTTCAACACATTTCCAAGGCAGATGGCCTTGGAAATGTATGAAATCAGTTGTATGATGAGTTTAGTCATTGGTTGGCTGCGATTCTGAACTGTGAAGAATGTCATATTATTCTGGTTAATGTTTATGCTTACAATAATGTCTCTTAAAATAAACTTTTATTGTCTGACATATCTGATGCTACAGAGTACAAAACATTTAGAATACTAATTTTGTTTTGGTTGGAGGGGACGTCATTATGGCATCTGATGATTGGCTGTACAGACGTCCATCTAAAGCTACCAAAACCCCTCATAATAAAGTCCTGCTTTATTGTGATCGATATCATTGATCAATATTTGGAGAACAATGTCAGGCAATTCTCATAGTGCTTAAAAATCTGGAATTTATCTATGGCTACTAACACCTGAGATTGATCATTATATTTCAGAAGGTTCATATCAAGTGCTCTATTCATCAATCAACCAATCAATCAAATTTTATTTGTATAGCACATTTCAGCAGCAAGGCATTTCAAAGTGTTTCACATAATTAAAATAAAAACAGCATGTGACATTGAATAAACAGTGAGAAAGAGAAAGACATTTTGAAAAAGATTAAAAAAGATAAAAGCATTAAAACCCCTTTTAGGACTTCAGTTAAATGTCATTTAACTGGGGCTCTAACCCTCTGGGACTTTAGTCAAAAACACCGTTTGACAAGGACTCCAACCTCTAGGTTTTTAGTTGAAACTCCGTCAACTGGGACTCTAAATCCTGTAGGACTTTAGTTAAAAGTCATTTAGCAAGGATTCTCACACCCCTAGATATAGATTCGTTGAACTGGGACATTTTCCGGGGGGGCTTTACATAGACAGTGTGAAAGAGAAATAAAAAGAAGTTAATAACTAGATGAAAAGTAAAGATAAAAACATTAAAAACATCGAAGACATCAAAACCCACACTCTAACACTAATTTAGCCATTATCAACTCCAAACAGGTGGGTTTTAAGTTGAGATTTAAAGGCACCCAGTGTTTCAGCTGTTTTACAGTTTTCTGGAAGTTTGCTCCAAATCTGTGGTGCATAGAAACTGAATGCTGCTTCTCCTCGTTTGGTTCTGGTTCTGGATGCAGAGCAGAACCAGAACCAGAAGATCTGAGGGGTCTAGACGGTTGATACAGCAATAACAGATCTTTAATGTATTGTGGTGCTAAACCGTTCAGTGATTTATAAACTAACAGAATTTTAAAGTCTATTCTTTGAGCTACAGGGAGCCAGTGTAGGGCCTTTAAATCTGGTATGTGCTCTATCTTCCTGGTTTTAGTGAGAACGCGAGAATGCGAGCTTTTTTTAACAATATATATGTCAAATGTAACAGACTGGACTGGAGACACAACAATGAAGCCGTCTAAAGAAGGGACAGAGCAGACTGGACTTCTTGAGGAAGATGCTGCAGATCCCTGCAGATGTTGTTGAGAACATCATCTCTTCTCTTCTGTTGGGGCAGCAGCATCAGCATCAGAACCAGGGACCTAAAGGCTCAACAGCCTGATAAAGAAGCCTGTGGAACCTCTGAAAATTTTTATACAAAAAAGGATTTTCATAAAATCAAGAAAATAATGGACAACCCTAGTCATCCTCTTCATGAGACTATTTTGGGAAGGCAGAGTGTATACAGTCAGAGGCTTCTACAGATTCGCCGTAATGCAGACTGCTACAAGAGATCTTCCCTGCCATCAGCCATCACCGTCTACAATAACTCTTTAAAGAATTAATGAGTTACAACATTTAATTTTGTGGAGATTAATAAAATATTTTTTTAATTTAACTGAATTGAATTGAAAACTGCAACAGCTCGCAAGGTGGCCATCAGTGTGATTGGTGATATTCTCACCGCAGCAGAGACGCTTGCAGTCTGACTTATTTGGGAAAAAAAGTGTTTTTCTTTTATACATAAAAACACAAACAAGCAACGCTTAGCCTGGCGGGGGGTAAATAAAGCCTGGCAGCCGGCTAGGCTTATAGCGCACTGGGGGAAACCCTGGATGTTCAAATAGACAGTGAACTTTGCTTTTGCACATTTTCCAGATGGCTTTAAAGGGCCTACAAAGAGAAATACATTTGTGAGTTTGTGACTTTTACAGGACAAACATATCTGCTCCAGTCCAGTCTGGTCCCTGGTCCATCAGAACCAGGGACCTAAAAAGGCTCAACAGCCTGATAAAGAAGCCTGTGGAACCTCTGAAAATTTTTATACAAAAAAGGATTTTTCATAGAATCAAGAAAATAATGGACAACCCTGGTCATCCTCTTCATGAGACTGCCATGAAGAGGATGAGTGTAGACACTCTGGGAAGGCAGAGAGTAGACACTGTCCGTACAAAAACTTAATTGTTTTTGTATGGACAGAGTGAGCTCTAGGTTTTTGGAGTGGGGGGGAGGGATTGCAAGGTATGTTTTTGTTATTTTGTATGTTTATTGTATAAGTCTAGTGTGTATTGTATCTGTATAACAGAAAAATTCTAATAATAATACTTGGGAGGGGAGGGGAGGGGAGGGTTCAAAAATAACTTAAAACAAAAGCAAGTACTTGGTTATACAATCTTAATGATCAACTCAAATCTCTACAAATTCTGCTCTGTGGACATCAAAATTACAAGAAATGTCATTTTTTTCCCTTTGTCAGAACATACATGCTTTTTTGCAACAAAAATTGTGTAACAGAGCAAGTGACGTCCTAACAGGGAAAAAATACCAAATAACCTGCACAGCATTTTAGCATGCACTTAAGTCCTCAGTGACAACAGAGCCTGTCCTTAAAATCAGGGATGAAAGGCTGACAGTCATATTTTGGCCCAATCTATAAGTCTAGTCTGAAAGGAAGGTTATTTTAGACAAAAATTGTCTTTTTCTCAAGCTATGCAGTTTCTCTTTTCATCTATGACATGAGTGATAGCACCCAGCACTGTTAACACTACTGCTGGGTGCACTGAGGTATATGTGTGGTACATGGGTAAGAGCAGGGAAACAGGCTTTTATTGAGCTTCCAGTACTCCAAAGGACTAGCAGCTTGAATGCACAGAACATCCAAGCTCACCTCTTTGATGATTTCAAAGATGTTCCTGATACTCAGGTAATAGAAGATTGTACTTAGCTCAAATGCAAAACTCCTGGTTCTCCTCTCCTCCAAAGTGAGATGTTCTCCAAATATAAGTCTCATGAAAGGACCCATGTTGAGGTGACCTTTGTTTCAGGGATCAATGAATGACAAAACAACTCTTTATGAGGTCAGGGTTGGCTAGCAAAGGCTAGCCAACAAAGATCTACCACTACTGTCATAGTGGTAGACAAAGGATTCCTCATCTCTGTGTGTGAAGTGCAAGGTGTACTGTCCACCTTTTCTCAGAAAAATAAATAAATAAAAAAATCCATGCCAGCTCAAAATGTCCTCCAGACAGAAAATCGCACATCTGTGAATTCACATTGAGCTTGTAATCACAAAAGTTTAACAAAATAAACACTTTGATTTAGTTATACCTTTATCCATTGTTGGAACCATTAATAAACTTTTTCCAGTGGCTTGCCTGCTAGTCAATTATCAAAACAAACCATCAGGGCTAAAGTGAACGATGAATTGTTCACTTGAACTCCGTAAGTTAAAAGTGTTTCCCAACCCTGGTCTTCCAGGCACACTGCCCTGCATATTTTAGAGGTCTGCCTGGTTTCCTCTTTACTATCCCATCCACCCATTTTCTGTACACCCTTGTCCCTAGTGGGGTCGGGAGGGGTGCTAATGTTCTGGGTGAGA